AAAATATCACCTCAGCTATTGTAAATAATCCACAGAATAAGTTCGTTCACCATTTTAATTTTTATGAAGAGACATTTATATCGTCGTCTAATGTATTTTCGAAAAAAAACAATACGCAGATGCTATAAAATAAGTTTTAGACGATGCTGCAACTGTGACAGGAAGACCTCTTTAGCTATTATGTGAATCTTTTGGAGACATGATGTTTAACGACCCAAACTGTTGCATAATATAAAAATGAATTATTATTTTTCTTATTATTGCTGGTTTCGGATTAAATACTGCAATCGTTTTAGAATGATGTTGGCTCTTTGACTTGAAAATCTTGACCGTTTTTTTAAAATTGTGTCTCAGAGTCATTTCAGATTAAAGAAAGGTCCAGCTCAAAATCTGGATTTGTTTGTAGTTGCGATATTGAATTGTTTTTTATCAGTTATGGGTTTACCATGGATGCACGGTGCACTACCGCATTCACCTTTGCATTTGCGCGCCTTGGCTGATGTGGAAGAACGAGTGCTGCAAGGGCATGTCCATGAAGTGTACGTTTGTTCACGTTATTTCCCTTGATATTAGATTGATTTTCAAAAGTATCTGGCTCAAAAATTCGTCTTGTAATGCATGAAGAAAGCTGAAACATATTTTTTTAGCTTGAAGTAAATTAGGTGCTGTCTAAATAAGAACGGTTAATAGCCTTTACTCGGCAAACCGCTTAAGTACTGGCAGGCTGTCTTAAAAAGCTCTTTAACTGTCGTATCTATTGTTCAATGGGATTACCATCAGATTGAACGATAAACTACTACAACTTCGAGTTATTTCAAAAATTGAGTTCATGACAGAATGAAGAGTTTCTGGATTTTCAAATTTTTTCAAAATTCAAAAAGCGATGAAAAAATGTGTTTCAGAATAATGAATGTACGCGAGACACGGCTAGCTACGTTGATAGCACACCTGTTGATATTAATCTCAACGTTTACACTACTACCATACCCTCTTCAATGGATACCAACATCCGTATTACACGGTTTATTCTTGTACATGGCACTTACCTCTTTGGCTGGTAACGAAATGTTCGAACGATTATTATTACTTATTACTGAACAGGTAGAGAACTCAAATTTCGTCGTACGATTAAGGTTTATTTCATAAGATGACTGAGTAGTCACGAATGATGGGAATTTGTTGGGCTACAAAGGGAATGAGGTTTATTCGAAATTTTCTGAGATAGAAAATTCTGTCGTTTGTTGAGATGTGCACAAAGCACATCTCAGAATTCTGCACTCGTTGTTTTCCCGAGAATAGGTTGAAAAAGACTGTCAGACTAAAAAAACTTTTCAGCAAGCTTATCCGCCTACTCATTACATCAGGAAAGTCCCTCAGCGAAAGGTACACTTATTTACTGCCTGTCAGCTTGCACAGCTTGTATTACTTTGTGCATTCGGATTTTCACCCTATCCATTTATTGAAATGGTTTTTCCGATTGTCTGTTTCTTCTTCTTACCCATCAGGTAAGCCAATCACTTTCATCTTTCTTTTGATTAACGTATTTAAGTTCTACAAGTTTTTCTTATGTTCAAGCATGACGCTTTTGATATGAACGTGATCAAACAATTAATGGTTATATCATCAATGTTAATATTGCAGACATACGTTGATACCGCGATTAATTGACTACAAATATCTGGATGCACTGGATGGAAGACATTAGATTATTGTATCAAATGAAAAATGACGTAGGACATTTGTACTTATGATAATTTTTATAACCTTTGTTGCACTTTGTATTTCATTTGTTGTACCAAAGATATAATACGTTGGTTTCGTAGTATACGTCGTAAATGTTTTCACATTCGAAGTTCATAAGATTTTCAATTAAAAGTAAACACTTCGAAAAAGATAGTTTCTACAGCATTTGCTAGTAAATCAATGGAAAGTCATTCATCACAATCAAAATTAGTAATTAAACGAAAAAGCTACAGTCATTGTGTTCGTTCAGTTCTGCGATCTCATCAGGGAATGTTGGAAGTGCTCAGAGGGTTCATCAGTAGACAACTGTAACCTATAGCATATGACCTGTAGAAGTTAATCAAGTCATTTGATTGTGGTTTTGTTCTTTTGCGTCGATTATACTTTTTTCTACATATTGTAGAACTTCCAAGTGAAAATCTTGCTGAAAATAGAGGATAGAGTGCAGGAATTCTTGGACAAGAAAATATGATGAAAAACAAAATATCATGAGAGAGTTAGTGTGATGAGCACACTGAAAAATAATATGGTCGTCACCGAGGATTGCCCGCTATTTGACCAAGACTGACCCCTCCGCCAGTTCCAGCCATAGTTCTTTAACTACATTATTCAATTTGATTTATATACCAAATTCATCATCAAAGTACCAAAAGTAACCAGCGGTTTCAATGGGACTTAGAAGGTGTCGTGAAATAATAAAGACTGCCAGATAATTTATCCAAATGAAGCGCTTAGTGCGAAAGCATTTGTGAGGAAGTCGATTTGTTTTGTGAATACACAACAGTAAGGAATATTAACCTTTATCGTAATAAGAGATTGAAAAAAATCCACCAATGTTCGTAGAAGCAAAAGAATAAAAACAGAAGAAAGCGAAAGAAATAAAAAAAAGAAGAAAACCGATAAACCTTTGAAGAGG